TCAATTTATTAAGTGTCTACCACGTGCCAGGCATTGCTAAGCATGGAGTCCGGAGAAATGCCAAAGAGTGAAAAGTCAACAAGTCTTGAGGTAGACTAGATGTGTTGTGAGAGACAGAAAAGTATGACTTTCAAAATTCCAAATCCTAATCCTTTCTAAAAGAAGTAAATTTTAGGGATTGAAATAATTAATAGAATGTAGTAGTTGAGCTAGATACTTAAAAATTTCAGACTTGTAAAATAACCTAAAAGAGCTTATGATGAAGGGATATCAGATGTTTCATCTGAGAAAGCAAAATACCTAGAATGCAAAGTAGAATTTCAAAGATCTTCCAGGAAAAGCTGTTTTATGAGTATAAGCATGTCTGTGTATGCATATATGTATGTAAATGTGGAAAAAGAGTTAAATATGGTACATTGACTAAAATTGGAGAAAATTTAAAGGTAGCAGTAAACGGGAAGAAGAAAATTAAAAACACATCTTTTATCAAAGTTCCCTTCAAGCTATTTATGAGTTTCAGAATTACAAACTGAAGATGAAGATATACAAAGTATATTTTTAACTTCACAATGTATACTTTTGGGATCTATGATTTCACCATTGTGACCCTTCACTAATGCTGTTTACCTCCATTTAACATAGTGTATATCTTGTATATACATATCTTGTACATACATAGTTATTTGCATGTTGTTTATCCCATGAGGTAACACCTGAGGATTTTTGTTGTTTAGTTGTGTTCGACTCTTTGTGACCCTATATTGGGCTTTCTTGGCAGAAATACTGGAGTGGTTTGCTGTTCCCTTCGCTAGTAGATTGAAGCAAGCAGAGGTTAAGTGGCTTGCCCAGAGTCACATAGCTAGTGAATGTCTGAGGCCATATATGAATTCAGGTCCTCCTGACTCCAGGCCCAGCATTCTATCCACTGAGCCATCTAGCTGCCTCTTGAGGATAGGAGTTTTCATCTTTCTTTCTATCCCTAGCAGAATGCCTGGCTCATAGTTAGTGCATAAATACTTGTTGATTGACTAATTATTTTTCTATGCCCTTTTTTGGGGGGAGGAATAAGAGCGGTTTGCTTCTGTGATTTCATTCATAGATGGAACTTTTAGCAAAGATTTTACCAACCTAGATTAACAACTGTTCTGCAACTTAAGAGTGTGGCCTGGAACAGTGAGAGGTTGGCCCAGGGTCACACAACTAATATGTGTCAGAAACAGTTCTTGAACTCAGGCCTTCCTGACTCAGAGACTGTTTCTCCACTCCTCCATGATTTCATAAGTGATTTTTATTACCAAGTAATTGACGTTCTACTGTGGTGCCTCTCTAAATTTAGCTGTATTATTCCTTTAATGAGAGATATACAATCTGCTGTAGACCCATAGCCAAAGTCTTTTCAATGTGGTGGTCTTTGCTGGAGCCCATTCTTCCCTGTCAGAGCTTCTGAGGGCCAAGGCAGCCTTCTTGCCAGGATGATGAACAAGGAAGGCCTCCACCTAGGAAAGCACCTTGACTCATTTACTTGTAAAACTAATGGGACTGGCGAGGCTAACGGAGGCAAAAGGGTGGTGCTTCACGAACCCGTGTTTGGTAGTACAGGGCTACATGAAGGCTTCAAGGGGGCTCATTAGTAGGTCACTCTTTATTTAGGATCTTTCATATTGCCAGGGGAAGGAAGAAATAGATAACCAGTTCATGAACTTGCTAATTACTGGCTTAGATGGTACTGAAAATTCCAGCATTAACAGAAACAAAGAAGAGACGTAGAAATGTGAGCGGAAGTGCGACATGCCTGTCATATTTCCAAATTCAGAAGAGCACTAATATGTTGTTTTGGACATGGTAAAAATATCATTGATGACTTGAGTGAGTGTAAGTGGGAGAATGTGGCAATAGAATGCTCACGGCACATCAGGTAAAGTTTTGGGGGGCAAGGTGGCATTGTGGTTAGAGAGCTAGCCTTGAAATCAGAAAGTCCTGGGTTCAAGACCAGCCTCTGACATGTGCAAACTGTGTGACCCTAGACAAGTCCCCTAACCTCTCAGTGCCCTGGGTAAACTTCTAAGGCTTGAAGCTGTAGGACATTAAGCTGTAGGAAGTTCCCTAGAGCAATGAAAGCATAGGTTCAAACCACATAACTTGAGAAACATCATAAATACAAGGGAAAACTATTCACAACAGACATTAGACAAATAGGTAGAAACTGGAAAAGAGAAATGCCACAAAGATCTACTAAGGAGAAGAGCAGTGCTACTCCAGAGTGGTCAGACTTTCTAGGGCTGTGAGCGGCTCATGAAAAGATAATGGAAATCCCTTGGCAAACTACTCTGGGGATCTCACCTTCAAACCCTATTACTGAGAAAAAAGTCAATTGTCTGAGGAGACCAGAAAAGGAATGGGTGGACGGATGTGAGAGACTCACCATTTGTAAGGGGTAAATAGAATGAAGAGAGGGCATAGTGGTAAAAATAATGGAATTATTAAACTAACAAGAGAGGAAGAGATTAATTGAATGGAATATTGAGGTGGTTTTTTTTTTTTAACAGCTAGAATGAGCAAATAGTAAGAGATACTTGTTAAGGATTAACCAGTAAGCCAAAGTGTGGATCTGGTTTTCCAGCTAGCCATATATTTTTTCCATCTATAGTTCTTAGAATTTTTTTTCCAACCCATTTGCTTACCAATGCAAATGGCAAATTAGCACTAGAGGCCTAAGTAGGGAGCAGGTGATCAAGAATGTCAACGGACCATCTTTAATGACAGCAGGTCATAAATGTTTCATGGATTCAGAAAACTATTGGTTTACATCTGGATCTTATGTACTTGAGAATGGTGATTGAGAGTTCACAGATCCCTGTGAAATGAAGTCAAATACGACCAGGAAGCACCTTACACTAGCTTCCATTTGGTTATATAAGCAAACCTCAGCTTTAAAGATTACCCACCACACCCAAATTCACTGCTTAGTTAATTGTTTAGAATTCAAGATGCATTTTCCCATAAAACAGTGCAGATGAAATCACAATTAAGTTATTCAACTTAACTTAATCCAGGGCCTAGCCCAAAGGTATACTTTCTAGATTATCCTAGAAACCCAACCATTATTTATAACAGTGCTTCAATGGGAAAAATTAGCTGTGGCACTTGGTAAGAAGGGAACCTGGTAGTCCTAGGAAAATGTTTTCCCCTCTGCCTACCATGATATCTGAGGTAGCCACCCAACCTAGAACAAGAAGGAAGAAGGATGGCATAAATGCTACTACGTGTGGGATGTTTCAAAGTCCAGTGGTCAGCTGTCACAGTAGAATTGCCCTAGGATGCCAAGTATACAAAATATTAATTTACTTATTTCTTCTACATTTATTAAGTGCCTACTGTGTGAAAGGCACTAGGAATACAAAAATGCAAAATGACATAGTCCCTGCCCTCAAGGAGCTTACATTCTAATAGTGGGATAATATAAGTACACAATTCTGATACAAGTTAGAATGAGACATGTGCATAGGAGAAGCCAAACACAGAAAGAAAAGAGAAATGGGCAAAAAAAAAAAAAATCACTACTCGCCAGGGGAGCAGGTAAGGCTTCATGGAGTACATGGCAACTGAAAGGGCCCTTGAAGAAAGGGAAGGACTTTAGAAGGTAGAGATGTGGAATAAATTCATTTAATTAGTTCTAAAGGGTCAAGATACTGTTAACCCAATATACCCTTTAATTCACTTATTATAAATCACTACAGTCCATATTGTTATATAGCAACTCATTCTCTGAAAACAAAACAAAACAAAACAAAACTATAAGGTAGGTTTTATTTTTGTTTGCTGACACCAATCCTATGATAAGGTTCTGTTTTATTCCTCTAGCTACAGAAACAGGGATAGTAAATTTCTTTTCAAAGTTGACATGTAAATACATCCCACGCCAAGAATGGTTTTGTGCACTGTTGCATATATGAAAGGAGAGAAGACGCCTGATTGGCAGACGGGATTCTGAACCTTACCTGCATAAGGGACTGAATGAATTGGTTCCATACACTGTTTGGGAGAAACACATGGATAGGGGATACTCCAAGGAGGCAGGGGAGAGAGAAAAAGACTTTGAAACAGTGGTCATTGGTGGGAATCCAGTCCCTTTATTTTCCTGAATTGGCTTGAAATTCTAGAGACTGATGAGAATGGACCTCCTCTGGGTGAGATAGTTCTCTCTCTCTTAGTTTGAGGTGAGATCTTATCTCACACCTTAGTGGAAGAACTCATTTATTTTTGTGTATTTTTTTTTTGGTATATTCTAATCTGTTCACCTTCTCTGATTTGCTTGAATAAATGGGGTTTATTCAATAACCATTCTCTGTAATGACATTTTGTATTACTAATAAGAGAATCAGAGGCCTAGAGAGATTAATTAACATGTCCAAGGTTGCATAGTTAGTATGGGGTTAGGATTATAATCTAAGCCTTTTTATCTTGGTTCCTTCAGAAAGAAGAAGAGAGTATCTGATATTCTAGTATACACATTGACAGCAACTTCACAACTTAACCAAAAGGAGTCAATCCCAAATCTGTGGTGTAAAGAACAGAGTCAGTTTTCATATACACATTTACCGCCAGGAAAAAAAAAAAAGAACCTTAGTTTACCATATTGATGTACACAGTGATATATGATGACCCTAAATGAAAGTCCTTAGTAAAATAAGCAGGTGTCATTGGCATATGACTGATAGGGCATCTTGGGCCAATCCATATTTTCATTGGCTCCCAGAAGGAAACAATATGACAACTTCTCTTGAAATAGCTCCTGGTTTACCTTTCTCCCAATTCCCTCTTCCCTAAGTCAGACACCTCCCCATCCCACAACTCTGCAGTTCCCCTTAACTTCTTAAATCCAAATGACTTTGTATAGTCCAGAGCTCAAGCTATATCAACCCTTTAGCAGAAAAAAAGCCAAAGGGTAGGAGCTTAGGATACAAAGACAGCGAACCAAGGGAGGGAAAGGTGCTCATTACCTCAATGGACCCTGGTTCAGCTTTGATCATTTCTCCCATGTTGCTGTCACTATTAAGACTTGGGGGGCTATAGGCAGCCTGTCTCCTCTCTTCCTTTAAGGCATGCTCCCAGAGTTTCTTGTTCAGGATCCTGGCAGTATTTTCAGTCAGCGTGTGGCCGGGAGGAGCAGATAAGTCCTGTCTCACAGGTGTACCTTCCCCACCTTCTTCTCTGGATGTCTCGGTGCCAGCCCCACTGGGGCTAGGTGACCTTCCCCTGGAACTTGTGCCTGTTTCCTGACCCGGGCCCAGATCCGGGCGGGGTTCAGCTGAGCGAGATCGGCTGCCGGCTCTGATTCCCTTCTGGAGGGGATCATGTACCACCGGAGTGTGATCAATAATGTTGAACAGGCTGGAGAGTCCATCATTGATGGTTGTATGCACAGGGCTCTCCCTTGTGGTAGTTGAGCGGGCCCAGGCAGATTCACTATAGCCCTTTTGGGGTGTCCCTGGCAGGGTCCGATTATTTGGCTGGTCAGCTTTGGGGAGACTCTTCCTCTGTAGCTTAGGTGAGCCATACTTGGGGGAGCAGCATGTGCGTTCGAATTTGGCCTGCACCTTCTCAATGGCAGGGGCTACCTGCCGGCTCCGGAGGTTCCTGGAGGGGGATGACACAGGAGTGGTACCACCTCCTGCCTTTGGTGTGAGACACTTGTGGGGACTGCTGGTGATGCTTCCACCACGCAGGGTTTCAGTCTGTAGGCCAACATTCATGGTCTGGGTGGTCTGTGTCCCTTTTGTCTTGCATCCGTTGGTCTGACAGGCCATATCCTTGAATTGGGGCTTTGTGGGGCTAGAGTGGATAGCATTCCTGACAGAGAAGGCAACCTCTTTCATGTCATCACTCATGTTCTTGGACATCTCAAGGCCATGTAGGGAGGAGGAGGAAAAACCCATGGCAGTGCAAACAGGGCCTTCCATGGAGTGGAATCCACCCTCCAAGTTGTCTCTGTGGTGCCCTGGGTGTTCACAGGGCCACCTGCCAAATGCATGCTCATGGGAGGTGCCTTTTGCCTCCCCCATGCTCCCTTTGGCTTTGTTCACAGAGAGCAACAAGTCAGGGTCTGCCTGGCTCTTCTCCTCGTTGCCTGCCATCACTGAACTATCAAACCTTCGGACTGCTGGTGGGCTATGAAACACATGCACCCCCATTTTGTCGGCAATGACGTGGCTCTTCAAAGGCTGCTTCTGGCAGTGCTCTGGGCTGGTCGTGGTGTTGGTGGTCATGGTGACACTTGTGGTAAGGTACCACGATGACCCGGGGACATCGTTCCCTGACCTCCCCCCCTCGGTCCTTTCTGCCCAGGAATCTGGTGGCTTCTCGGCCAACCCATTCCTGTGGCTCTGGGGTGGAGTATAGTCCCAGTTCTTGTTAAATTCCTCAATGTACTTCAGGTCATCAGGGGACAAGGGAGGAGTGATGTCCTCCTTGTGGTTGGCAGAAGGCATGGCCTTTTCTGGCAGGAAGGGAGAAATGTCCATCAGGCGCTGGAACTCAGACATGGAGGACACTGAAACTGCCCTGAGGAAAGCAGAAAAGAAGAGATCATAAACCCGCCACACATCCTGCTAGATACAGTTCTGGCACGGTGAAAGGAAAGCGGACCCTTGTCATTCTTTTTGCTCCCCCTTTGTAGATGGAACTTCCCTTTCCTAAAGAGCACTCTTAATGCTTGTGGCATACTTCCTTGTTTGATGGTGCTTTTCAGGCATCAGCTGATCCCACAGGGTGTTTTCATGGACCCTGGTATAATTCTAGAAATGTTCAGGTGGCTTTGCGTTAGTCAGAACTTAACACAACCGACTCTCCCCTGTGACAAAAGGCAAGATTGCATGGAATATTTTGATTCATAAATAATATCCCTGAATCTCATTTCAGTCGACCGTTTCAACTTCCCCACCGAGCCCTGTACTCTCTTATCTGTTGGCTCCTAGCCGTTCTCTGGTGGAGTTCTCAACAAGCCATGAAAGTCCCCCAAACTAGACAGCAAAAGGAAAAATGACAAGTAGAGGCTACTCTACCTGTTTAATAATCTACAAATATCTTTACTACAAAAATCTACATATTGACTCATGGCCCAAAAGGCCCCTTCTCCTTTTGCTGGCCATGCCCACTGTGTACTATGGCTGCCCAATTCACTAGACAAAAAGAACACATTGGTGGCAAACATACAGAGCATTCTGCCTTTCTTCTCCCTGCCCTCCCCCAGCATAAATTATTCTGAAAGCACACACAGAGACACACGAAAGATATGGAGAGAAAGTCAGAGCTTACTCAAGCCTACCCAATTTCTCTTAGGCTTCTTCTGTCAGATATCTTTAAGGTTTCATGATATGTGATACTTTAGTGCCTCCCCTCAGGTAAATTGCCTGTCATTGTATGGAACAGAAATGGGCAATTAATGGCTATGACACCGGCCACTCCAGTGACTCTGTGAGAGCTCCAGCAGCCCCTGGGCTTTCTCCCCTACATACACCTTCAGACTAGTCCATGATGCTTGGAGTGTATCTGTGGGAAAGGGTGGATGATTGACTTTGGAGTCTACTTCAGTCCCAGAGGAATTTCTTTATCTCTAAAATGAATGGGTTGAGCTGAATGATCTTAGGTGCCTTCCAACTCTTATTTTCCATGAGTCTACAATTCCCTGGATTCTATGGTTTCAGGAACATTCCTTAACAGCTAACCAGAGACTTAAATACCTCTGGGTAAATCTCTGATCTGGGACTCATCTTCCCAGGGGAAATGGAACCCCAGAGAGCTCATCTACCTAAAATTCTTCCTCAGTGGGAATAATTGACCATGACTGGTTTGGACCAGTTATCTTGCCATGGTCTTATATGTCTTTCCTCTATAATTGTGAAATTTTTACTTTCAGATTCAGTACATGAGGGCAGCCAGCTAACTCAGGTCCTACTAACACTATTTCTCCTCCGAGTTTTTTTGTCTAAGGAAAAGTGAAAAGGATGAAATGATCCTCCCTCCTGGGTACCATTTTATCATTCCAATCTAGATATGATGGTCAGTGTTTATTTTTGCATCAGTTTGAATAATAGCTAATAAGCACTTGGAGTAATTGATTGCTACTGGTAATCAGTGCTTAAAATAAGAGAAAAAAGGGAGGTGGTATGGCTTTATCGACAGGTACAATCCTTTAAGGCAAGCACGCCGAAAGTTATGAGGAAGGAGGAGGCTGAAACCTTGTCCTCTATTCTTCCTGGCTCACTTCTAACTCCACTCCCCAAATACAAACAATAGGTTCAGTACCACATGAGTTACTAGAATCCTTTGCCTTCTAAGGAGCTAAAAATGGTCTTATGGTGGTTTAGTCAAGCCTCAGTCTTTCCCATATTTCTTTGAGGTGAGGTAACAAGTAACAAGTTAAAGCACTAATCAGTTAAGTTCCTACTCTCAGAGTTGACAGTGGCACAGACTAGATAGAATCATGATGGAGGGTGGTGGTACTGGCAAGGATTAGAGCATGGATAGATATTGAGGACAGAGGGTAGGGTGAGAGGGGATAGGTAGAAGCTGTAAGGTGGCAAAAATTGTAATCTTTTCTCCCATGAGAGAAAACAGGAAAGGTTAAAGGCAGGAATTAACTCCAATTTAAGCGCCGAGGGTTGAGACTGCAATGAGGATGCAAAGGAAGTAAACTATGAGGGAAAGTGCAGATTTGAGAGAGAATGCAAGGTCAGCAGCCGATGAAATGTAGTTTAAAGAGGTCCAGGGGCTACAATCCAATGACCTCCAAGGTCCCTTTCAACCCTATAAGTCTGTGACTCTGAGAGTAGGGGAAGAAGTGAGGTAACAATAATTGACGAGTCAAATTTCACAGGAGAATCCAGGATGAGGGGAGCTAGAAATGTCAACATGACCTGACAAAGACTTTCATTTAGTACCAAAGCATCTACTTTTATAGAACGAAAGAAAGGGTTGGAAGAAAGGTAGAGAGGGACTGGATAAAAAGAGAATGGGGGAGAAAAACATAGTACACAGAAGAGGAAAGTTTCTTAAGTTACTTTATCACCTCACAGGCTTAGAGCTGGAAGGGACCTTAGAGATGAAGTCTCACCCTTTCATTTGGCAAATGAGAAAAATGAAAGCCAAAGAGGCTGGCTCATTTGCCCAAGGTCAAAGAAGCAGTAAGATGCAAAGCCAGGATCTGAACCCAGGTCCTCTTCCTCTGATTTAAGGGAAAATAAATCCAGTGCTCATTCCAGTGTACCATGGCCACTATTTCCTTTATGATTTCCTCAAGAGAGATGACCAGTAATTCTTAAAATAAAAACTTTTCATACAAGTTTTTAACTGGATGAAACATCTCGCAGCAGACAGTTCCTTACATTTGTTTTATATTGAGAAGGGACACACTATCATGAATTTAACTTTCAAGTAATCATTTAACGAGACTCCTATTTGCATTATACATATAAAATTATAACACAATTTAGGTAAATGTCAAACCAAAGGCCAATCCTTGATGTAACCATGTTTGATCTTTGTTATTCGTGATCAATGACATCATATTAATGAAACATGATAAAACCTGATCACATTTGTTTTTTTCATAATCATCAAAAGGGGGCTAGGCTACTACAAAAGGGGTGAAGTACATCAATCACTAAGAAATTCAGTTCAGGCCTACTTTAGCTAATGTGATTTGCATTCACCTTACCTTTGAAGATTTCCTTTGTAGCTATCTTCTTCCTGTAAGAAAAACAAAACAAAACAAAACGAAACAGATAAATCCGATTTTGGCTGCTTCAGTCTGTGGCTTCTATCATGAGAAAATACCTGATTAAAAAACACTTTAAACAAAGTAGAGAGAAGGGAGGGGGGGGGGGGGGAGAGCTACAGGTATGGAATGTTGAATGCATTTTCAGATAAGGTCCCTTGTACTGTTAGTCTTTGTTAGTTTGTTATAGTAAGTATTTGTTAGTGAATTGTTTTGTTCTGTTACCCTCTCACAGGGTAAGGATAATCTAAAAATATATTGAAAAATAAAACACGTCAAAAATATTTTTAGAAAATGAAAACACACCTTATTGGTACATAGCAGGTAAGGGGGGACAGGACATATGTCAGGAGGAAGTGTTGGCCAGAGAAATGCAGAGAAACATTGTAATAAAAATACTACAGATTCTAAAAGGGGTACTGGTATAGCAAGAATGGAGATGATAATAGGATAAGGAGATAGGGAAGCTGGCTGTAACTACTGTCACAGGGAAGGTTAGTTCTTCCATGCTCCTGTAAAGGGGCCTAAAAATAATACCATATATCAATAATAATGGCATTTTATAGTTTTCAAAGAGGCAGTTATTAGACAGTGCAGTGCAGTGACTAGAGTGCTCAGCCTGGAGTCAGGAAGACCTGAGTTTAAATCCAGCTTCAGATGCTCACTAGCTACATGACCTTTGGCAAGTCATTTAACCTAGGTCAGCCTCAGTTTCCTCCGCTATAAAATGGAGATAATAATAGCATCCATCTCCCATGGTTTTTGTGAGGATAAAGGAGATAATATTTGTAAAGATCTATGCAAATGCTAACTATTATTATCTCTGACTCACACTTTCCTTTTCTGTATGAAGAGTAAAACCTGTAGTACTTATACAAGATTGTTGTGAGGTTAAAATGAGATGATGTAATCTCAGCATTTTGCAAAGCACCATATGAAGGTCATTGATTATTATTATTATTAGCCACATTCTCTATAAACTTTGGTTTTAACTGAAATTTCTTCTCAAGGCTGTCTTTAGAATCCCAAGCTTCATTCAGGGCCTAACTCAAAGTACCGCCTCCTACATAAGACTTCTGATTTCCTCCGATTGTTGGTACTCTCTTCCCCAACTTACCTTTTACCTTTTATTTACTTTGTTTTTTTTTTTTACTTACTTTTATTTACTTATATGTTTCCTCCACTACAATGTAAACTCCCTGTAGGAGACTGAGAACTGTCTTTATTTTTTTGTATTTCTAGTGTCCAACACAGCACCTGGTATAGAGTAGGCATTGAATAAATGCTTGTTGATTGAATTAATTCATTAATTCATTTTCCTCCTGGGAGAGTTGCCATTAGCTCAGAAGTACAAGGAAGCACAGGCCCCTTTAGCAGAGGTGGTGCTAAAACACAAAGCTCCTAAATCCCTATCTGGATCTCTTTTCACTAAATTATCCTATGATCCCCATCTGTAATCTCAGCAAAATGGACACTTCCTCCAGTGGTGAAGATTAACAATACACCTTCAAGTGTCCCTATGGGGCCTTGTCAAGTCCTCCACAAGGTAGGGGGGAAGGGTGTATCCTATACATTGAGGACCTTTTCCTAGATCTCTGGGCTATATGGCTGGCTATCCATAGGCCTTGATCTCCTACACTGCCGATCAGGCATTCAATTATTCCTCCAACACACCATTTCCCTACATTCCAACAAAGGAACTCTTTGACATTTACTCGATGGGTTCCATTAAACGTGTGGGAGGCTGCCTGACAGATGAAACAGCTGTTATAATGGTTCCTTAGTAACAATTCCTTTAATCCATCCTTTAAACTCAATGTCTCAACTGCTTGAGTGAAAGGTATAACTAGGAGAATTCAAGTAATGCAGTGTTAAGAACATTTCAGGATATGGTGGGACTCAATCTACTTGGCCCAAGTATTATAACTACTAAATTCAAAAAGCTTCCCTCTCTCCTGTCTTCCCATAAAACATCTATGACAACCAAGGTACACTGGCACCATTCTGTCCCAAGAGGATAAATATAGGATTTAATTCAAACATCTACTTTAGTTTTCCAGGGGTCGAATTCTTTCTTACTTACATAATACAACAATTTTTAAAATGCATTATTATCTAGTGACATTTTCAAATTCTCTGTATGAAGACTTTTTAAAAGCATTTTTTCCTTTCAGTTATTAGATTTTTAGAATGAGAACGTTTTTCTGTGATTTAAAGAATATGGATTTTCTAGCTTTTTTTCCTTCCTCTTCTGAAATTTACTGAGCATATTCATATTTGGAAACAACTCAATTTGATTCAACATTTATTAAGTACCTACTATGTGCCTCAATTTATTGTGGGTGAGGAGGATACAACAAGTATACACATAAGTAGAGCTGAAGGAAAATTGAGAAACTTACTCAAGAGGAGGACCTTAGATGGCTTAATGGAGATAGAAGCACTTGAGCTGAGACTTAGGGGAAAGCAAGCATTCTGAGATTTGGAGGTGAAATGGGAATGTATTGAAGGCATGAGAGGGATGGTTGATGTACATAAAGACCAGAGATGGGTGATAGGGTTCAGGGAACAATTCAATTAGCAGTCTGGTTGACTGAATTACAGAGAATACAAGATGGCAATATGGAATATGAGAAGGTGGGATCCAGATTTTGAGTGTGGTAAATGCTAACCTCAGAAGTTCTCATTTTATTTTATAGGCAATGTGAAACCATTGAAGGGTTTTAAGGAAGGGACTGACAAGGTCAGACCTGTACATTGGGAAGATTCTTTTGGCAGCTATGTGAAGGGATAGTGGATTGGTGAGGGGGACACCAGAAAGAGGGAAACCAATTAGAAAGGTATTTTAGTGGTCCAAATGAGGGGTGTTGAAGGTCAAAACTATTGTGGAGTTAGGAAGAGAAAGGGACAGACATGACATATGAAGCAACTGATTGGATTGGGAGAGGAGATGGAGAAAAAGAGTCAAAGAGATGAACTCTGGTGATTCTTGGTGACTGGGGAAGCTTTTGGAATAATCCTAATTCTAAGTGACAGGTCTAGCTACTTGTAAATCTGACAGTCAAATCTACAGTCTCCTTATTCCTTCCCACATTGCCCATGAATAAGCCCATGTCTCCTTTGTCCTTAAAAAACCTTTGTTAGCTTTGTGACCCTGGGCAAATCACTTAACCCCCATCGCCTCACCAAAAAGCAAAACAAACAAACAAACAACAACAAAAAAACTTTGCTTGATCCTACTATCTCCACTAGATATCATTCTAAATCTCTCTTCCCCTTCTTGGATAAACTCTTTGAGAAAGTGATCTATACTTGGTGCCTCCATTTCCTATATTCTTTCTTAAAGTACCTACAATCTGACTTCTGGCCATTCAACTGAAATTGCTTTCTCCAAAGTTACCAGATCTAATGGCCATTTCTCAATCCTGATCCTTTCTGACCTCTCTGGAAGGAAGAAAACAAGCATTTTTTAAGTGATTACTGTATGCCAGACTCTGTTCTAAACACTGGGAAGACAAATACAAGCCAAAAGAAAATCAGACGCTGCCCTCAGAGAGCTTACACTCAAAAGGGAAAGGACAACCCACAAAAGGAAACATAGAAGGGGGGGCATCTCAATCTCATTTTATCCAAAGAAGAACTTTGAACCTCTTCTCCCAACCCCTTCTTCTTTTGACCTATGCTATTACTGTCCAGGCCATCACTAATCCCCCCAGTTACTCAGGCTCACAACCTTGGTGACATCCATAACTTCTTACCTTACTCACCCTATATATCTAATCTGTTGCTGTCTCAACATTTCTTCCTTTACACCATCTCTAGTTACATCTTCTTTCCATTTGCTCAGCTACCATCCCAATTCAGGTCCTTATTATCTCTCATCTAGAGTTCTAATTGTTCTGCTTGTCTTGTTTCTGAGGCAGCCCATTTAGTTTTGGGACAGCTTTCATTGCTAACAGTTTTTCCTTTAGAATCTGGAGTTCAAGGGGGCATCGGGGATCATGTAATTCAACTGTCTTAATTGACATATGAGGAAAATGAAGCCTAAAGAGGCTAATTAGATTAATCTCATCTTCCACATTAGATTGTGAGTTTTTTCCTTTTCTTTTGAGGCAATTGGGGTTAAGTGACTTGCCCAGGGTCACATAGCTAGTAAGTGCCAAAGGCCCGATTTGAACTCAGGTCCTCCAGACTCCAGAGCCGGCGCTCTATCCACTGCACCACCTAGTCCCCCTTGCTTTTCTTTGCAATTCTCAGCACTCCCAAGGTCATCGAGTAATAGCACCTTACATTTAAATAGTCCTTTAAAGTTTGCAAAATGCTTTACGTATAATCTTATTTAAGCACAATTGTGTGAAATAGATGTTATTATTATTCCCATTTTGCAGATGAGGAAATTAAGGCTAAGAGAGTGTAAATGACTTGCCTAGAGTCATATAGCTAGTAATATCTGAGTTAGGATTTGAACTCGGATTTTCCTGACCTTGTATCCAGTATTTTATTCACTGTAACACTTATCTGCTTCACTAGTACATTAATTGCAGACCCAAGTCTCTCCACTCTAAGTGTAGCACACTTTCTTTTACACCATGTGTCTCATATGGGTGGATAGAATGTTTTTTTTTTCCCTCGAATCAGAGATCTGCCTTAGGGTCTGGATTATTTGAATAGCTCCTATCTGGACTTTTAAATATCTAGACATCTTGTGTATGTAGCAAAGATTAGAACCAGTGCCAGTGACAATACTGACAAATGTGGCATCTATTCTCATAAGAGACTTCACCTTTAGTAGAAAATAAAATGGGTCTATCTGGGAGAAACTAAATAGTGGTGACATTGGCATGGACAACAACATGGCCAGGAGTGATGACATGGAAATGTAACCACCTATTCTCCTGCCCCATTATCCCTTTTCTTTCATTTATCTTTTATCTTGACACTTTCTGCTGTGGGAAAGGACCGTGTTCCATTATTGCTTAATTATGCTTACTTCGTTAGTGAGCAATTAAAAAATAGAGAGAATATAAGGATTACTTCATGCAGGCAAGCGATAAACTTCTCTCGTGCCCCTTTCCGCGGCTGGGGGTCATCGGGCTCATCGTCCAAGGCCAACGCATCCAAGAAGATGTTCTCTGTGGCAGAGCATCGGTCTGTCTGCTTCAACTTCGACAGCGTCTGGTCTTCAAACTGCATCTGGTCTGGATCGGAGTAAGACCAGCTTCCCATTGAACGAGGCATATGATGACTCCCTTGGTTGGAAAATACACGGATGCTGACTTCTTTCGAGTCCCTAAAGAAACTGTCATTTCCAAAGAAGCTCATTCCATCCTGTAGCTTAAAATGTAAAGAAGAGAAGGTCAGTACAGATTGTGCATCAGCTGCCTTTATAGCGGATTGTCTCTTTCTCACAATTGAATTTTATTTGGACTGATTCCATAGGATGTTAGGACACTATAATAGTCCTTCTTTCCCCTTCTCTCCTACCCATTCTCCACTCCACCCCTCCCCCACTGAGTGCCAAACTTATATTCATTTTAAAAATTCACCTGGTGCACATCCAGAGGAAAGAACTAACAGTGTCTGAATGTAGATCAAAGCATACTGTTTTCACTTTTTTTGTAGTTTTTTTTCCTTTTGTCCTGTTTCTCTTTTCACAACATGACTAATATGGAAATATGTTTTACATGATTGCACATATATAACCTATATCAAATTGCTTACTGTCTTAGGGAGGAAGGAGAAAATTTGGAAATAAAATGAATGTTAAAAATTGTCTTTACATGTAATTGGAAAAAAATGAAATGCTATTTAAAAGAAAAAAATAGAAAAGACACAGGGAAAAAATAAAATTCATCTGGTCCCAACAATTTAATTTGGATTTTAGTATCTATAGTTACACCTTCATTTATGAGGCCTCCCTACTTCTTTCTTTTTTTGCCTCTGTGTCAATAGGTTTTGAGAACTGGAGTATCTGCTGATAACACAAATAACTTAAGAGTCACCTTGTATTAACACCCAAGCAACAAAACCAAAAGATTTTTAAAAGGAAAATTAGCATGATTGTCAACTCTTTATTATTTATGCTAAAGACAGGTAATAGAGGTACTGGAAGTTTAAAAAAATCATTTATCCAGACAAGGTTTGGAATAAGTCTATTTATTTTCCCTAATTATGTTTACTTAAAATAAATGCTGGCATAGTGGATAGAAAAGTCTCTTCCTTGGTCTCACAAAAGATCTGGGTTCAAGTGTTGATACACGTACTGTGTGAACCTGGGCAAGTTAAAGTATCCCGCATATTCTCAGATTCGAAGTTGCAAAGAAGGTGCTGCAGGTTCAGTACAAAAAGAAAGTCAATGCTAAAAATAATTTGCCTTTCCCAAGCACCTGCTGCCTGAATAGTCAGGGGAGATAAGGAAATGGTGGGAAGCAGCTACACTCACATGAAAATTCTGTCCCAAGTGATTGGCAAGGTAGATAATAGAGACCTGACAATCCAGGAAGGACTATTAAGTGAGGACATTACTTGAAGACGCAACAACCTAAATTTATCAGAACTCAGACATCCAAATGAGTGCAAAAAGGTCACCTACTTATTCTAATGATGCTACCACCATTTTTGGAACTTCTCTTTAGGAACTGCCCGAGGGTCAATGAGGCACAAAAGAAGAACCTCGGCCTCAATACGTAGAGAAAGTTATACCTTGATTTTGGCCCAAGGTGGGTCATCTACCTTTTTCACTAGATTTGGCCCTTCATGATTTTTGGACATTTCAAAAAACCAAATGCACCTTCAAAGGATGAAGTCTCCCACCCTAAGGACATATGAAAGAATGTAACACAGCTTCTAAAGGCAATACTCAAAGCAGAGTTCCCCAAGTATTTTGAATGGAAGCCTCACTGAAATAATTTTTTTGTACAAGGTGTCAGAAAGCTATCTGGATGTGGAGTCAGAAGGCCTAGCTCTGCTACTTATACTTTGTGTGACCCTGGGCAAATTATGTAACCTCTTGCCTCAGTTTCCTTAACTGTAAACTGAGGGGATTGGACTTGATGACACTGAAGGTCCTTTCTATTTTAAAATCTATGTTCTTGTGACTCTATGATATTGACTGTTGTTAAGGGGACGTGACTCATTTGGATGTATACATTTTGGTGTGCTGGTCCAAATAGTTGTCTCCTGATTTTACAGTCACACCTGACATAGATGACCTGATTCCTCATTTGTCATCACATTTCTTTTAAGCACTCTTTCTGTCCTATATTTAGAGCTAGAAAACTTAACTAATACAATGTCCTCACTTCATAAATGTGAAAGCTAAAGGCTAGAAGTGTGAAGTGATTTGCTCATAGATACACATTTTGTTGTTTAGTTGTTTCAGTTGTGTCTGATTTTCCATGACCCCATTTGGGGTTTTCTTGGCAAAGATACTGGAGAGTGGTTTGCCATTTCCTTCTCCAGCTCACTTTACAGATGAGGAAACTGAGGCGAATTGAGTTAAATGACTTGCCCAGGGTCACACAACCAATCAGTGTCTGAGACCAGATTTGTACTCCAGGCCTGGCACTCTACCCACTGCGCCACCTAGCTACCCTAAATGTACATTTAGCAAATGGCAGAGCTGGAGATTTGAACCCATGTCTTTTTCATTCTAATCTATCACATTTTATCACACCATGCTTATTGTTAATTGTGGTCAATCACTATTTCTATGGCTGCCCTCTCCCACTTATCGCCTTTGAGAGGCTTAAGCAAGGGAAATAGGTCAGCGTCAAACAACAAGGAATTGTAAAAATAGGTGGGGAACTTGCTCCTAATGAAGCTTTGTTCCATTTAGAAAACTTTATAATGTTTGCTGACATTTTAATTTTGTAATTTTTGTTATTATTGCCTTTTTCTATAAATATTTATGCATGAGCAAACACTAGACCCAAGGATATTTTTACTTAACTACTTTTAATGAGTCCTTTATTGGCTGATATATTTGATAATTCTATTGGGTTGACTGCTTTTTTTTTAATAAGCAAAATATTTAAAGGACTAAAGTGACATTTAGACCCAACCCAAAGACAAAGAGGAATAAAGATTTTCAGTCATCAAATATTGAGATGCTACCAGAGAATGCTATAAATTTCCTTGGGAGCATATCAAGATTTTCAAAAGCATTTTTCACAAATTTAACTCTGTGTCCTAGTGTGCACCTCTCTATCTATTCCTGCTTGTGTGTGAAGATGGCCCATGTAAAGTCATGCAGCATCAGACAGACTTTGCTGGGGAGGGTGGGGTGGTGACTATTGAGAAGAAAGCACTTTGCAAAACCTTATGGTATTATTTTTTGTTACAGATCTTAGACAGAGAAAGGTAGCAAGGCCTCTATCCATTGATAGAGTATTGGCCTAAGTGTCAAGAAGACTTAGATTCCTGTCTCTGACATAAATTCGCCATCTGATCATGGCGAGTCAGTTTTACTCAGTGCCTCAGACAAGTCTCTCCAAGGCTATAATTAGCTGGAGAACGAACAGGTGCCAGAAGGCAAAGGGTGAGAGAGTTTCCTATTACTACGAAATCACACCAAGTGCTATTTAAATGTGACTTACTGGTTTTTTTGTTTAATTGTTATTAACATTGAAAACAAAGGTCCGAAGTATTACTACTCTTCTTCTCCCCCACCTCCCAATGTTTCCTGGTGCTATCCACTAGCCGTGTGACTCTGGATAGTCATTTCAACCTTTGTGTGCATTGGTTTCCCCACCTGCAAAATGAGGTGATTGGATGAACTGGTATGAAAGGTACCTTTCAGCCATAACAATCTCTGAGTTATCTCAGCTTATCTGCAAGCACGTGGGCTGTAGGACTGGATTACTTACTGATCTAGCTTTTACTTCTATTCTTGTCCTCCCCCTTTTTTCTTTCCCTTCCCTTTCAGTATTATCAATGCAGTGATGACCCTACTGTCCTTCACCCCGTTACAAATTCTCCTTTAAAAATTCAATTCAGGGGGCAGCTAGGTGGCACAGTGAATAAAGCTCTGGCCTTGGAGTCAGGAGGATCTGAGTTTAAATCCGGCCTCAGACTCTTGACACTTACTAGCTGTGTGACCTTGGGTAAGTCACTTAATCCCATGGTCTCATCAAAAAGCAAAAAACAAAACAAAACAAAACAAAACAACCCCCCCAATTCAATCCAATCCAAAAAATACCTACTCTGTGCTAGCTACTGGAAAAGTCACAAAATTTAAACAAGACACAGTCCTTACCCCCACTAGAGCCTATGATCTGGTAAGCTAATGACACATAAGCACACATAACTATTATATACAATAAAAAAGGCAGCATGACATAGTGGGAAAAAAGCTAGTCTTGAAGTCAAGAAGACCAGGGCTCAAGTTCTGCTCCTGACACCTGCAGGCTGTTTGACCCTGGGCAAGTCTCCTAACTTCTCAGTACCCCAGGCAACTCTCTGAGACTGTAAGTTGTAAAGCAGGCATCTACCTTCATCGGGAAAGGAAGCAACTCACTTCCAGTAACTTATGCAGGTCCAATAAGAAACCAAACAGGGTAATACGGCAGGAATGTGGTAGGAATAGGGAGGATGGGACAGATGGAAGAGATGATACGGAATTAGGATGGGCAGGCCTTCGTGGCTGATTAGATACAAGAAGTGTGAAGAGGAAGAGTCAAAAGTACCAGCAAGAAGACAAATACTTCTTTACAATTTTTCTTTAAACAATAACAAAAAAAGAAATTTTTAGATTCAGGGAACGCTGATCAATAGGCCACATGAGCATTTTTAAGCTGTCAAGGGTAAAAAAATAAAGAGAACACAGAAAAATTGATGGTATCGAGTGAGAAGGTAGGGGAAGATGATGGGAAGAAAGAGCTGGCAACCTACAACAGCAGACTGGTAAGCGTATCTTGATAGATGCGTAAAGCACAATACAAAGTAAGTACTGCTCTATGTTGAGGAACATCACTTTGGATTGGCACAGGATCTGGGTCAATCTTACCCAGAGTTTTTGTAGTCAAGGAGCTCTGTGATTTGAGCTGCTATCAAACCAACCGGCTCATTGAAATTGGTGAAGAGTGCTAGATTTGTGGATTTCTCTTCCTCTGGAAGACCATAAGGTGCTACATGACTTAAATTGCGATTCATAGGATCATAGGATCAGAGATTTAAAGCTGGGAGGATTTCAGAGGCCGTGTAATCCAACCACTCCATTTTAAAAATGAAGAAACCCAGACCCAGAGAGGTTAAGGGACTTGCTGAAAGTTGTACAGGTGGTAAGCAACAGTAAATTCCATTAAAAAATATAGCATAGCCAGTTTCTTTATGGT